CCCTGGCCCCTGAGGCAGCTGAAGAATGGGCTGAGTAGACAAGACTTTTCCTACTGCCAACCTTCACTCTGCTTGAAGCGAGATAGCGCCAGTAGAGTGTCCATCAGTGCCCTCCACATCCACTGGATCCAGGGGAAATTCAGGACCATCCAAGATGGTGACCCCTCAGTTGTAGATGTCCTGGGGCACAAAGCCCGGCTCTAGACAGAGGGTTGCATGTTTGGAGTTGGAGGTTGTGACTTCTCTTCCCAAGGCCTCTTGCATACATTGGCCAACCCTTGGGGTGGTACCATCCCTGAAAAGGCCATGGCATCGCCTCCTCCCTCCCCCCGGACGTAATCCAATGGCAGAATCTCAAAGTGGCCTTGTCACAACACTTCAGTTGCAACTCTCCTGTGCTGGGGCACAGACCTTGCTTGGGTATTCCAAAGCTGCACGTGCACAAATAGTATGGGCTTGCCCCATAATGCCGGTCCGACAGGATCTCGCCACCCCATTTCCACAAAGAACCTGTTACGTTCCCATGCAAATCTGGGTCTCGGATTGCCCAGAATTGTAGGAGTGCAAGGTCAGCAGTTGCTTTGGAAACATCTCTGGGTATTTGGAGAGGTACTAATGTTCCACTGGAAAGTGCATCTTTTGGAGAAAGAGACATGCCCCAGCCTACTAGTTCTGCTGGCTCATCTTCCCACTGCATGGAAAGAGACGTTTTACAAGAAAACCATTCCTCTGCAAGAACAGGATTCTCTCTCTGTCTCTGTCTCTGGGGGTTTTTTTTTTTTAATGGCATTTGTGACAAGTCTATGCAAAACTGGGCACAGGAAGGAAGAATTGTTCAAGGAACTATTTTTTGCACATTGCTTTATACCATAGATTTCACAATGCGGGTGAACTTACAAAGGATTTCTAAGAGGGGAGGTTTGTAACTGGAGACCTTGGCAACGCATAATGACCTGCATACAGAGGGATTTGTACCGATTACACTAGGAGATGGCTGGGAATTGAGTATGTTCCTTGGAGTTGATGCCTGTAAACCTAAGAGAGAGGATTCTGGTGGCTGACATGGATTTGGGAAGTCAGCTGGTGTAGAGTCAGCAAAAGTGGGTTCCCACGGTGGGGAAGCCAGCACTACATTAAAAACCTGATGCAAACAACTATAGAAAAAGGCATGGCCAGCAGTGCATTTCCGAGGCTGGCTTTTTGTGGGACATGAGGTCAAAGGCTTCATGCAACCCCAGAGAGCAATAAAGCTATCATAATTGAGACCCTGGGTTTTTGGGTTTTATTTTGTTTAACATTTCCTAGCAATGTATCAGTGTTTATTACAAAAATAAAAAACTGGATGAAAATTGGTGCAAAAAATTAACTTCTGAATAAATAACCATAAGAATTTAAGAACGGCCATACTAGGTCAGACCAAAGGTCCATTTAGCCCAGTGTCCTGTCTGCCGACAGCGGCTAATACCAGATGCCCCAGAGGGAATGAATAGAACAGGGAATCATCAAGTGATTTTACCCCTGTTGCCTATTCCCAGCTTCTGACAAACAGAGGCTAGGGACACCATTCCTATCCATTCTGGCTAAAAAAAATTGATAGACTGATCCTCCATGAATTTATCTAGTTCTTTTTTGAACCCTGTTAAAGTCCAAGGTCTTCACAACATCCTCTGGCAAGGAGTTCCACAGATTGACTGTGCATTGAGTGAAGAAATACTTTCTTTTGTTTGTTTTAAATCTGCTGCCTATTCATTTCATTTGATGACCCACAGTTTTTATGTTATGAGAACAAGTAACTTTTCCTTATTCACTTTCTCCACACTAGTCGTGACCTCTATCATATACCCACCTTAGTCTGCTCTTTTCTAAGATGAAAAGTCCCAGTCTTTTTAATCTCTCTTCATATGGCAGCCATTCCAAACCCCTAATAATTTTTGTTGCCCTTTTCTGAACTTTTTCTAGTGCTAAAATATCTTTTTTGAGATGAGGCAACCACATCTGTACTCAGTATTCAAGATGTGGGGATACCATGGATTTATACAGAGGCAATACGATATTCTCGGTCTTATTCTCTATCCCGTTTTTAAATGATTCTTTACAGGGGTAAAATGTTTGCTTTTTTGACTGCTGCTGCACACTAAGAGGATGTTTTCAGTATCCACAATGACTCGAAGATCCCTCTCTTGAGAGGTAATAGCTAATTTACCCAATCATTTTGTATATATAATTAATATTAGGGAACAGGAGGCAGAAAAAAATGGAACAAATAGAGGAAAGTAAGAGTATTGGAAGTAAAAGCAGGTTAATGCTGTGGTTTATGTTATGAGCTGTACATTAATAGTACATACATACATGCACATAGGCGTGCGGATCTTCCACAGTATAGCTTTACTTTAACAGACAGCCTTGCATTTACACTTGGACTAACTTATGAACATAAACGCAGCTACCTAATGCAGTGTCTTGGCTTTTCTTAACATAATAAATATTTTCATGTTCTTGGGTGGTCTAAAGTTTTGGTGAAAAATTGGTAAGCAAATAGCAGCTTTTGCAAATCCCAGGAGCGAGTCAGTAAAAATCAGTCCGAACTGAAAATGAAGGGCCTTCCCCATAACACAAGATCAAAATTGACACTGGAATGGAAAGCATGACGGCTTTCCTACGGCTCTATAAGTTGGGAGTTGTTGACTCATGGAAGATGTTACCCAATCAGAGAGCTGGATTTGGGCTAGTTTCATGACCTAGCCACAGGGCTTTGTAATGGTATAAGACATTTCAAGCTTCATTCACAGCCTTTGCTTTTCACTTCCTTAGCCTGCTGCAGGGGTGGGACAGCTGTGGGAGCTGTAGGCAGCCCCAGGGAGAGAGGTGGAAGGCGTGGCAGCATCATGTGACTCAACACTCATCACAGCTGATTCATTGTGTCAGCTCCAAATGGAAACTTTCTGAGTTGTCCTTGGACGGAAGGATGGTGGCAGGTGGCATGTGGGGAGGGAGGGCGTTTGCGGCAGAGAAGATAGGGGGCTATCCCATGGGGGTGTCAGGTATGCAAAGGGGCCTGGGAGGGAAATGAAAAGGAATATCTAAGAGATGAAGATAATTGACAAAGCCACCCATTATTTCTATCGGAGAGAGCAGCGGAGTGGGGGAATCCATATCAAGGCAAGAGAAGCTAGCGGAGAATTGATTGAGGACGTCAAGGTAGTGAAGGACAAAGTCCCTTTCCCATAATGTGAAAGCAAGGGGTCCGTGGATGGGCTTGTTCTTCAAGTGACATAACCAATATGGAGGCTGTCCACCACCACCGCCACCACCCATCTTTCGCGGCCACAACAGAGTTAAAAAGCGTCC